GGACTCATTTTTTTGTGGACATTCATTAATATAATCTTATCATTTTTCATTTCTATATCTGTGGATGTGGGAAAGTGGGAACAATTTCATGAGGTACACACCTGCCACATTTAAATAGAAATTTGGATGTAAAGATGATGAATTTTATAATTTCATTCAAGAGTTACTCATGACAGATGAAGGACCTAAAATCCAGCATGTGACAGAGAGGTTTCCAGACAGTCCTGTGATAGTCATAGATGCTGGAGAAATCATTTCTCCATAAAAATGTTTTATTTCTAAAGTGTAACTTTACCCAAATATAGCAGTAAGGTCTTCCTGTACACAAATAATAATTACATAACTACAATTTGGGGGGGTTATATTTAATTATAAGTCAAGTATTTTGCATGGTTTATTTTATATTGTTCCTGCCATATCTCTACAGGGTGCATGTTATAACCTCCATTCACATAATCAAAGAAAGGCTCAGAGAAACCAAGGGTCTTACTGAAAAACATACAGCTGGAAATCTGGAGAGAAGGAAGTCATGTATGGATTAACAAGAAACAGAATGCAGAGAATCACAGAGAGAACATTTTGGCTCCTGGTGGCAGGGGTAGTCCGAGGAAACCATAGAAGCTGCATCTTAGGAGGTCCAGGAAGGTGTGAGAAAGCGACTGGTGAGCACCTGGCTCCTTGCTCCAAGGAACCTTTCAAAAGTGATATTTGAGTTTTATCTCTTCACCTTGCACCAGGAGGATTAATAATGATGTCTTGGTTTTCAAGCGTGTTACAACCATTTTCTCCTTTAGTCTCCACTAAACCACTGCAGGCAATGACTTGTTATTCTGAGTTTAGAGAACAATGCTGAGCCTAGGAGTTGATTTATCCAACTCCATAGCACACCCTTTTTGTTGGGGGATCCATTTTTCCTCTGTCCCAGTTCCCATCTGAATATAACAGCGAATGGACTAGTTGGTCTATGTGCAGAACAAAGAGTATGGAAATGGATGTGACTGCCCAAGGGTCCTGCCCTCTCATTGCCATGCTCCCTTCCATAACCCATAATCCCCAACCCTACCCCCGGTGCAGATCCTTATTAACCTGAACCCACTTGCTCTCCTGGAAGAGTCAGGAAAAAATTCCTTTTGCTGGGTATAGGCATATAAACTTGCTAAGGTGCAATGTAGATTGAATGTGAGCTAAGTTTTGCCAGTTATATCCATAAACAGTTGGAATAAGGTATCATTTCAGGAGCAGACCTGCTTTTTTCCCAAGGTTTACAATGTCTGGTGAACCCACCTGCCTCCCACTGAGAAGCTCTTGGTGGAGGCTGTGCAGAATGAGCCCACAAGCTCATTCTGGGGTCCGAGGAGTCAAAATTTGGGGCATAGCTCACCAGCACAGATCCTTCTTGGCCTGAGACTCCCAAATGAAAAAATCACCATGTAGACTTAAAGATGGGGTGAGGGGCCATGTGGACAGAGCACAAACCCCAGCAGAGAGGAGAGATTATTTCTCTAAGTCTGTTGGAGTCTCTGAAGATGTAGATGAGTCACTATAGCCTTGTAGCTGCCTGCTATTCTTGATTCTATTTCACAGTCTAGAAGCCAGTTTCTGTTTCACCAACACAGCCACTTCCTCTTGTGTCAAGAGAGGTGGAGCTCCTCTTCCCTCCACAGTGCAGAGCCCAAGATCTCCCAGCACAGATATCTGAACAGAACCCTCCAGGATGCCCCTCCCTGCCTCCTGGCCCCACCCTCCTCATCCTTTGCTGCTGCTGATTCTACTACTGGGACTCCCAGGTGAGCATTGTCTTGGGCTGGAATCTCTGGTCCCCCCAATCTGGAGATTCCAGAAGCCCTAGGTGAAGATTCGTATGCAATTAGGTCTACCAAGGAAAGCCAAGGACAGGGCATTATCTGAGAACATAAATCAGGGGTCTGAATACTTTCTGTGTGATTCATCACCTAAAGCTGGCTACCAGAGTTTCCAAACCAGATACTTCAAACTGCCACCACCACACAATATTTACATTTTAATAATATTTCAGTTGATGAAATACTCACAAAAGAATTGTTATTCAAATACAGAGCTTCTCAAGGCTCCAGAGATGAGGCAACAGGTCCAAGATCACAGAGTGAGCTGAGAGGCAGCCCCATGAGGTTGTCACCAAGCCCAGCCCTCTGTGTTCACTGTCCTGAGGAAGGGAAATCTGAAATGGTGCCTACTCAAGTTCAGGGGTCCAGTGTTTCCCTGAAGATGTGGGAATTTGAATTTAGTTTATGTGCCAAATTGTTTACTAAGCTTTTAACATGTATTGCAAATTTATTTTATTTTACATATATATGTATACATACATAAATATATATATACACACGTATGTGTGTGTGTATATATATATGTATATGAGACAGAGTCTCATTCAATTGTGCTGGGTAGAGTGCTGTGGTGTCACAGCTCACAGAAATGTCAAACTCTTGGGCTCAAGCAGTCCTCTTGCCTCAGCCTCCTGAGTAATAGAGACTACAGGTGCTTGCCACTACACCCAGCTAGTTTTTCTATTTTGAGTAGAGATTGGATCTCACTCTTGCTCAGGTCTCAAACTCCTGAGTTCAAGCAATCCACCCACCCCAGCCTCTCAGAGTGCTGGGATTACAAGTGTGAGCCACTGTGCCTAACCTACTATTTTATTTAATTCTCAGAACAACTTTGTATGCTAGCAGGCTAAGCCATACTTTTAGATATATTTGTGATTGTATATTTATATATGTGTATGAGAGATTGTTAGTGTACACACACAGGGTTTTGAATTAATGTTTTCACCCTTTCATTTTTATTTTAAATAATTTTAAACAGAAACAAATTTATTTTACTTTTTAATTGACAAATGCTGTATATATTTCATTAATATAGCTTTTTAGTATATTTTGAAGTCAGTGTGAAGAAGGGTGATTGCTACCAGCTTTATTCCTTGTTCAAAATTTCCTTGGTATTATGGGGTCTTTTGTGGTTACATATGAATTCTAGGATTTTTTTTTTCTATTTCTGTGAAATGTCCTTGATATTCTGCTAGGAATTGCATTGAATCTGTAAATTGCTTTAAGTACTTTAGACGTTTCTACAATGCTAAATCTTCCAGTCCATAAACACAGTTTACCATTGATCTGTGGCCTGTTCCCTTTCTTTCATTAATGTTTTATAGTTTCAGTGTAGAATCTCCTTGGCTATAATTATTCCTGGTACTATAGTTTGGATGTTTGTCCCCTCTAAATCTCATGCCAAAACATGATCCCCAGTGTTGGATGTGGGGTCTAGTAGGAGGTGCTTGGGTCATGGGGGTGGATGACAAGTTCAATTTTACGAAAGAGCTGTCCTGGTTCTTTGCTCTTTGCTTGGAAGAATGGCAAGTAGGGCCAGTGACACAGGGGGACGGAATGATGACAGACACAAAGCCGTTTTGCACAAGCAAGAGGAAGCTTTGCAAAACAAAAATACAGTGAGAATATGTTTTGGGAAAAGGAACAAGTCTGTCTCCGAGAGAAGAGAAGGTGCTGGAGTTTTAACTCATCTCTGTTTTGTGTTTATAGTAAATGATATGCTAAGAAGTGGGAAGAATATTCTTCATTTGTCCTAGACAGAGGCAGGGATTTCTTAGAACTTAGGGTCCTCCACATTTGTAACCTACAGAGTCACTTCAGGGGTTGCCATGGCAATTGTAAACTGTTATAGCGCTGGAGGGTGTGACTTTTACCATGCTAATAAGGAGGCTAGGTGGGACAATAGGACACCTTGGGTTACTTCTCTCCATGCTCCAAGCCTGGAAAAGACTCGAATCTCAAGTCTCCTGCTGTTGTGGATTAAGTGCTAGATGTTCATGGATGTTCATTGGCCTATTCCCTGGCTTTCAGCCTATTAGCGTACATCTGTTATCTGTCCCGAACATGGATTCCTCATAAATAGATTAATGCCGCTCCCCACCAGAGGTTAGTTTGTTCTCACTCTAGTGCTTCCTGCAAGAACTGGTTTGTTAAAAAGAGCATAGCACCCCCCTACACTCCCTCTCTTGCTTTGGGATCTCTG